AAAGAGGCTTCTGGCACCATCACCACTGCGTTGGACAGTCGCTAATGAACCTGTGCTCCTCCCCGGTACCCGGAGTCTGCTAACTGCTCCTGAGAGTGATTATTACCCGAATGCGACTATCTGGAGGGCTGCTGCGAGCGACGGCATTCATGCCAAGCGGGCTGGGTGGCACTTTTATCTGAAGCTACTTGCACATTTTTGAAACATTTATGCAGCTGTATGTTTTACCAGAGCAACAGAGGTTATGTAATTTGATCTAGGGGAACCTAAAAGGGCTCCAACTGGGATCTAAGATGGGAATGTTCTGGTTATGATTTAACATATTTTTCCATCGCAGCGCCTTCCGAAGCTACCTGGTACTTTCAAAAAATAGCCAGCATACTCTCTTGAATTATTGTTATTATTATTATTATTATTAATAATAATAATAATGTAATTATTATACTTACATTATTATAATTATTATAATCCTCTTACATACAAAATTTGAATGTAAATCTGAATAGTGCTGCCTTTTTCATTGGTAATATTGGGATTTTCGGGTATTCATGGATAGAAAAGGATATTTCAAGAGCTTTCATCTTCCAGGATGGTGCCCTACGCAGGCTTCCTGTAAATTCGCCACCCACTCCTTACGAGGCCATCAGTGGCTTGGGGTAACGATTGCGTTGGTAAGCGGCAGGCACACATGCAGCCAAATGCACAGCAAGACTGTCATGTTCTCCTCGGATGGATGAACGTAATATCGGCTAAGCATATTACCACCCTCCTTCGACTCAGTTTGACAGAGAAATAAGCAGTCAGAGTGTAATCCTGTAATCACTACAGCAGAGTAGCAGTTATGGGATTCTTACTTACTCTGTTTTATTTATCTGTGTGTAGGGTTACTATGCAAATGAAGAGCAAGAAGCAAGCGGTCAAACAGCGACTGACAAATCAGGGTTAGCTAGTCTTTGGAGCAACTGGGGTTAAGGGCCTTATGGTGAAACCATTCTGCCGACCCTGGGATTTGAAGCAACAACCTTCTGATCACATGCACAGCACCCTAACCTGCTGCACCACACACTGCCCAAACTCACCGGAAGTGATAAAACAAACTTCTGAGAGAAAAACTGAACCCACTCTGATAGGTTGAACAGGCAAACAGAAATACTGAATTAGCCAAAAGATGGCAGAGTGACATCATCCTGGGAACCAAGGCCAGTGACATTCGATGGCAATGAAACACAAAAGCAGGGCCCACTAGAGAAATGTAATTTCCGCTCGGATTCAGCACAAATATTCAGCTGTGCAAAGAAATTTAAAAACTGGAGTTACAGCTCAATCAAAATTTTTCACATCCATTTATACACAAAATATATGACATAGTAATACTGCGTTTTGAGCCTCTTGCAAACCTTTCAAAAGTGACAGCGTACCCAAACTACATGACATGTCTTCCTGATTACAATTTTCACTCTTTCTTTCTCTCTCTTGTAATTATTATATGATGCATAACAGCAAAACAATAGCAAATAAACAATAAGCTGTAACCTTTAGAATACACTGTTAGTCCTCAGATTCCAGAAGTGTTATTTAAAGGCATTAGTAGCTGCTCATGTTCTGCTCTGATGTGCCAAAAGTGTGCATGTGTTTTTTTTCTCCTGAACTCGAAAAAAAAGGAAAAAAACAGGATGTTGTCCAACTGATTAAGAACATTCAGCAATTTCAATATTGACACGCTTACAGAATGTTCCAGTCTAAAATGGCAGCTTTCGAGGCTGCATTACTAATTCAGCGGTAAGCACCTCCAGCATAAGCACAATTCTGACACAACGTGGACGCGCAGTGTGAGGACGGAGAACAACTGGTGGCTTTTCATTCTGCATCTGCGGCGTGCAGGGGGGGGTATGGAGCTCGTCTGGCTAAGCCACGCCCCCCCCCTCGCCCTACCCCACCCTATAGCTCATATCTGTGTATTTACAACTCATACTCTCACAGAAGCATGCAGAGGCACTTTTTTGATCGCATGCAATGCGATGCAACCCGCAGCCCCCTGGTGCTCGTAAGACAGACGGAAAAATGGTTTTTAAGAATCCAGCTAATTTAACAAGAGGTTTGTGAACAGTGCGGGGAAGGTAGTGTCCGAAGACCAAGGGTATGAGCAACCCGTCAGCTGGACAGGTGCTATGCGGGGGGGCGGGGGGGGGGGGGATCCCGATCACCCTGACGCTGCTCAGAGGTCCAGATGAGTTATTGTGCCAAATTACATCTCATTATGCACTAGCAGATCCTGTCAGGATGATCAACAGGAGGCATGAGTTCACTGCTACATACCCAGAATTTATTATTCTCCATGCTGACTTCTCTCTCTCCTGGCCATCTCACACCTTCGCTAAGAACGCAAATTTAAAGCCTTGGACTTCACAGTCCAGCCTGAGCGCACGTGGCCTGCGTTCCACCCAGCCCTCCTGCAGTCCAGGCTACGCCCATTTGTCAGAACCATTAAAGGCTGCTGTTTCTTGGTGTGAGAGCAACTCAAAATGTTATTGGCTGCAGGGCAAACTCAGCCAATCCTGCTCTATTAATTTTTAATCACCTGTTAAGTATTAAATACTTAATTACTGTCTTGCAGAAACTCGTGTGAATAAAGAGGAGGAAACTACACAACCAGTAGCAGTTCATGTGCAACTGATTCAGTTGGCATAATATTTGGAGACTCAGCAAAGAAGTCTTACAGTTTAAAATGCTGTAAATAAGTATAAGCAAATACGCACAAAATATCTCAAACAACAAAAGAAAAGAACTCAACAAAAATGTTTACATACAAACATTGTCCGGTTTGGCTCCAGCTGAAAGATCACTACAATTACCATTACCCTCAGGGCCTATAAAACCAGATGCATGATGGGACATCAATGAAGGTGCCACACGCGTTGATATAAACACTGCCGACAGGGGCATTTGGGAACGAAAACTATAATTGTAAGTGTCAAGTAGACTTCGCTTGATAAGTTATGTCCTTCAGGCACAGTACTCTTCAGCTGGCTGGGCTGACCATGGTACAAACTCAGGAAAGGACTCTGGAGGTCTAGCTCTGAAGCCTGCGTAGGAAAGGCGGCTCAGAGTCACTGCTCAGAGTCATTTTGACAGAACAGTGCACTCAACACTTTGCTGCCAAAAACGTCTACACGACCATTCATTAGGAAATACTGCATAAGCCGGTACTCAGACAAAAGAGAGATCAGCCATGTCGTGTGATTAAGCGCTATTGCGTCATCTGAAAAGTGTCTGCGATCTGGTGCCTTTAAAATCGACGGGTGGCTTTTGCCAAGATCTTTGGAGGGAGGAACAGGAGCTGCGTATCAGAAGACATACATGATCCTACTCCATAAATTTCATGTCAGGAGACAGCCAGTGGTCCATTTTTTGTTGTTTTGATCAACAGTTGATTCAGCAATCTGTCATGTTTATGGTATCAAACGTACAGAGTGTGATGAAACATAAAAAGTGCATCAATCAGTACGAAGTTTAACACAGCCTTGTTCCCTGTAACCTGTAAAATGCTCTACAGCTCCCTATGAACCAACACAAAACCCATGGTAGAAAGGAATGGATGGATGGATAAATGGTATGCTTAAGATGTTTCTGTCACAAAGCAATTTATTGGATGCGCAACGCAACCATTTCCCAAGGTGCACAGGCATTAATATCTCTGCCTTCTGAAATTTCGTTACCGCGCCATCACTCGATAGTGGTAAATTGAAGTGAATTAAAGGAAGTTGCCACAAGTTGAAACCGAAGACGGCCCTCGATGTATCCTGCCTTGGAATGAAACGAAAGATGTTTCTCTTCTTTTTAATAAACTCTCGGCATCTCGAGTGCCTTAACTCATGGTTTATTATCGACTGGATAAATCGTCAGGAATTATCTTTTCCCCCAGGCATGCCTGCTCAGATAATTGAGAATCACATGACCAACAAGAGATTCAGTTTAAAGGCCCAGAAACTCCGCATTGCTACCAAGCCTTCGGAGGCCTCAGCACACTCTACCAACGTGAAGGAAAAAGAGGCCTTTTATAATAAAAGAGAGTATTGTTCAATCAGCAGCTGAATCTGACGTATACTTGGTGTCTGTAAAAGATACACACATAAGTCATAATCATCTGTTTATACTACGACTACTTAATTTGATTAGTGTTATGGAGATAAACGATGAACTGGTCCATACAACACCAAACAGAAATCTTAATGTAATGCATTTTGTCCCTAAAGATGCATGTATATCTGCTCAAAACACCATCTATAGAGTGCATTTCTATAGAATAATTCTCTTGGTGCTTTTCGCTCCACAATTTTACCCCATTTATGCTGTCCCCAGCTGTCTGGGGCGAAAGATGCAGAGGTGCACGGTCTAGCTGCAAACTGCTTCACAAGTGGGCTGCTTTTTTTGCAAACTCAGTAGTCGCATGGCACATGGGGGGGGGGGGGGGGGGGGGGGAAGTGGCAGCTAATGCTGACTGGAGGAATCACAGGTCTGCTCCCTCCTGACAGCTGCGGGCCAACAGGAGGAGAAGCTGTTAATTCAGTTGTGCTACGGTAAGTCATTGGGTCCCTAGATAAAAAAAAAAAAACACACAGACGCAATCAATCGGTGGACCACATCCACTGTGCGTCATTTCCGGAACATTCTACCTAAGCTCATGAAACTCTTAGAAGCTCTTCTTTCACAATTCCATTAGCCACTCGCTTTTTATCAAACTGTCGTCTGCTTTTCAAAAGAGACCCAACATGACGCCCTTTAGCTGCATGTGTGAATGGATATTGTGAGTTTCAGAAAATGGGATGGTCTAGACAAAAGAGCCTCATGGATATCATACATCTAGCATCTGTCGGGGTAATGAAGGCCCAGTGCGGGTTCAATGGGCTGCATTGTATGGGGCTGCACATGGCAAAGGGCTGTCCCCCCCCCCCCCACCACCACCACAGAAATGCCATAAATATCACATGAGGTCCCGGTACCTTCTCGTCATCCTCGGTGAAGGGGGCCCCTCCCGGGTTCTTGTTGATGGCCTGGGCGACTCCGATGATCTCGCCGTCGCTGTTGCGGATGGGCATACACAGCAGCGACTTCGTCTTGTACCCCGTCAGCTTGTCGATTTCATCGCTGAAGCGACGGTCCTGGAACAAGGGGACACAATGAGTGCCTTCATAGCTCAGTGATCTCAGTTCCTCCAGGAGAGTGAACAGAGCATTCCAAAATAATGCAACAGATGTTACTGGAATCGATATTAACCATTGTGGACACATCCGCTCTAATATGAGCTATATCATTTATGACCAATTGCTTTTTCTAATAACGTGGCTTTACCCAAACTAGACAGTTTTGGCTGCTGCACTGAATACTTCAGTTCCTACAGGAACTGCAAAGTTAAAATCTGTTCGTTTTAGAACTGTTTTCGGATTGGGACAAATTTCACCTGTCCAAGTTTTGATTGATATCAAGTGACATGAATGGACAATGTCTTCCTATAAGCTGTTGCTGACTAGGGCATTAGTAAAAGATCCCTGTTCTCGACATTAAAGTTTAACAATTTTATTCCACTAAATGAATCTCTAACATTTATCTGTGACTTATATATGATGATTTTTTTGGTTATAAATGGTTTCTGCAAAAGTAACAGCCTCGTTACCTTAAAAAACAGTATTTACCAGGAAAACCACTCCAAAAAATTACGTTATTGTTCTAAATCATATTCATTACAAACCATAATTGTAAATATATATCGCCTAAAGTGGCATGTAGTTATATTGGCAATGTAAATAAAGAGTGATTCAATTAAAAATGAAAGAAGCTGCAATCAACGGTATATTTGTGCGTAATGAATATATTTTAGTTGTAGAAAGCGCAGTCAATTACCTGTCGAATGTGCTAAATGAATGTGAAATATACGGCACGTGTTGAAAATTCATGAAAGCAGTTATGTAATACACGACGTACTAAGGGAAATAACGGTTTTATTCGTGATTAACTGAATACTGTAGTAGCCTACATACTTCCACGAATTCTGATTAGAAAGTAAGACTAGCAGAATGTTCCAGTACTTCAATGTGATTGAACGACGATGATGATGATGATTATTGTTGTTGTTATTATTATTATTATTATTATTATTATTATGTTAGTTTTATTGTTGTTGTTTTATTACTATATACTGGGCAAAGCCAAAATAGCTCCGAAAAGTAAAATACACGAGAAGAGTCCATGTTTTTTGTACTCTCGGGCTTTTTTCACTTGTAGGTTCCGATCCAATTTTGCCACCTCGCCGTTAAGGATTCAAACTTCAAGATTATCATAGAATAACCGTTTTTGCCACGAAATCATGATATTTGAAAATAATGCATGGTTATGAGAAATTATGTCCCAGTACTGTCTGATTGCGCAAAACGTTATGTAAGCACACGCACCTGATATGCATCGGGGATGTTGACGGTCTCTCCGTGCTCAGCCACATACCCGATGATCCCCTTTCCCCAGGGCACCTGCACTTCGTCCGAGTTGCTCAGGGAGGGCAACACCGTGGTACCTGCGTGCACATCAAAGAATTTGGACACCAAGGTCTTCTTATTGGCCGTGCCTTCAACCAAAAACAAGGAACAGCGGTCCGCGTCCACCATAATACAGACGAAAACCAGGATCTTGTAGCTGAGGCTCGTTAAATCCAGATCGTTGGAGATGTCTTTCACTAGCTCCAGGAAAAACTCCCTCTCGTTGTGCTCTTTGAGATAGTATTTGAAATCCACAGCCGTGGATGGGTACTGGGGTATGTTCACTCGGGACTCCAGCAGTGCACTCAGGATGTGGGCAGTGGTCGGGGGCAGCGAGCTGGCTTTCCTCAGCAGTGCCCTTCTCCGCATGCTGGTCAGAGGTTCCTGGGCCCTGGAGTTGACGTGCTCATCATACGTCCTGTTGGCGTTGATGGCTTTAGACCTGGCAAAAGTTTTCCGCAGCTCCTTCTGCGATGCCCGCCGCTTCAATCCGTCACTCGTGCTCGCCCAGCTCTCTTTCCTGCTGTTGCTTTTATCCGGATCGGCAGATTTGTTCGCCTGGTGGTTCTTGAGCCATTTCTCCACCATGCTGTAGCTTCCTTTGCGGTTGAGATAATCTTCAAATAGTTCTGGGTGCTTGTCAAGAAAACTTTCCACATCCGAGAAGTCTATGCTGGGAACCTCCATGTCTATAGCGTCGCTGGTTCAAGATCACATAACGTATGGGCATCTATGGCGAAGAAACTCCCACTTGACATGTAAATAAATGCATTTAAGAATGTTTCACCTAAGAGTCACTGAGAGCTACCTATTTCTGAAAATGTATATCCTCCAAATCATGCCGTTAGAAGAAGCACAGGAGGGACAAGTGAACCGGTTCTGCTGGGGAAAATGATCGCCGTCCATTTATCCATTTCCCTCAAGGCAGACTCCTACTTTTTGTCCTGATGTGTTGCCTTTGATGCCGGGGCTCTTGAAAGCTCAGTGCCCTCCTTTCTGTCTGAGTTGCTCGGTGCGCCGAGGCTGCGCTGCCGCTGAGCTGGACCAGTGAGGAGAGCGAGCGGATCCTCCCCGCAGCCGGCGTGACGTGGGCGCCGGGGAAGGTTTGTATTTCGCCGGCTCGGCCCCGTCATCGTAATATATTCATTTTTTTTTTCTTTCATTTGAATACTGCTGGAAAGTCTTCTGGAATTTGTAATTTACAAACGGACATGTTTCTGTCGTACACGTTTTTTTTAAGACGTATGATAATGATAACCATTAATTATTATATAAACGACGTTTTCTCAGTTTATTAACGAACTTTATGATCCTCCTCCCAGTAGGATTCAAATTACCCCCTTCCCCCCAACCACCCACCGGGGTGTAATTTTTATGCTAGCTGCAGGAGCACCATAAGTGGAGGGAGGTTAGGACGATTCCTAAAAAAAATGTGCATAATTGTATTGGCTTGGGTTGAGGGCCCAATATGGTGCGCTTTCATGGCATGCAAAATCTCTAGGGGTACCGCTGATTAGCTGGATGTGCTTTAGGTCTAAAATCCATGCCGTTTTAGTTTAAAAATAGACATTAACAATAACAAAAATTTGTCAGATTAAGTTGTAATAAAGAAGTGTATAAAATGAATCAAAATCAACATTAATGAACAATTTAGCTGCATGTAAATTGTTTTCTATGAACTGTTTGGCCAGTATGTTATGCATAACTCTTCATTCCCTAAAGTCCCAGTACCTGTCAGTCAGCAATAGCATCAAGTGTCCATGATGTATTATTCAAAGAAAGTAGGAAATCTGTGATATTCATCAGAAAAGCAAGAGAAAAAAAAACCCAACTCTCTGAAAGACAATGCAGTACATTCTCATGCATAGGATAGATCATCCAACAATAATGTGTGGTTTCAGTGAGATGAAGAGACAATGGACAGTTCTTGCTAGTTAATGCTGCTTAAAGGGAGCAAGCCATTGCAAAAAGCCCATTCCTGGGCCCCATTTTGCTGGGTGTCACCAAGGCAGATTGCTGGAGGCTGGTGCTGTGATGGTGTTAGGTCTGATTTCACACACTGAGTTCCTTCATATGAACAAAGCAACATCTGAATGGTACAGGGATTAAAATATACCCCTTTATGACAGTAGCACATCTGTGAATGGGATCTTTCAGCAGGATAACAATGCATGTATCAAAGCTGGGATTGTCCAGCTATAGAACCAGGACTCACATTAAATCCAGTTTGCAGCATTACATTACTGGAATACAGCTGAAAAAACTATTAGGATTAGAGATCAATACTGCTAGGTAATTTACAACACCCCTGAGGAAGCATAGTGGCTTATCCCTGTGGCACATGTGGATCCCATATCCAGATGACTTCCAGCTATTTTGAGGGGTAACAACTCGGTATTTGGTCTAAGAAAGAGTCAGTCTGGTTTGTAGTGTAATTCATTAATTATCCATCAGAGGGAGCTAAACACCAGGTTATTGGCATATCCCCATGTTACTCTGAGAAGCTCCAGCTTACAGTAAAAGCCAGCTTCTTTCTGACTGGGATTTTGTATTGATGTTGGAGAATTACTGGCTCTAAAAATACCTTAGTTAGGGGTCTTTAAGACCAGGTAAAAATAAATCGATCCTAGCCATTATGACAAATGAATGCGACCTAGAAACATTCACATACTGTCCTGTAAACCAGTGTTTCTCAATCCAGCCCTCAGAGACACCCAGACAGTCCACAATTTTGCTCCCTCCCAGCTCCAAAAACTCCTTCATTAAGTACTCAGCATTCTTGATTGTGCACCAGGAGCAAACACAAATGTGGACTGTCTGGGAGTCACCGAGGACTGCATTGAGAGACAGTGCAGTAAACCATTTGTTAAAAAAGGTAGTTTTGTATGGAGACTGCGGGTAGGTTTGCTTGCTTCTCACAACAGTGAGAATATTATAACAAAAGCCATGACATCCACCTCCATCAAGCCCATTCCATAATGAACAGAGGTGCTTACAAGCAAATTAAAACATTTGACACATGAAAACACACATCGTTTTATCCATTTAATGACACCTTTACTAAGCAGATGGCCCTTCCCCTAACCACGAGGTATAAAATGTACAGTGTCATAGTGTAAAACAAGGCAATAAGAAATTGCACATCACCTGTAAACCATCACCAGGGGAATCCTTTACATTGTTAGAAACCAAAAAGCACTTCCAGTAATCTTTGACCTCACTGAAAGATCAATAGTGGTGTAAAACATAGCTGATTTTAATTTAACCATTTCATCACTTGATAGACACATGCAGAAAAACAATGATATTAAACCCAGAAATGTTGATGTTAAGGGCTTATTATAAATTTAAAACGGTGTCAATAAGAGACCAATGCCACAGTAATATTATATGAGCAGACTGTACATATAAATTAAGTGAACATTGGTACTGTTTAGGATGTTGCAGATTTTAAATATGCAATCAGATCAGCACGCTCGGTCTTCTTCTTGATGCCAGCAAAGATCATCTTTGTTCCTGGAATGTACTTCTTTGGATTTTCCAGGTACTCCATAAGTGTTTCCTCACTCCAGACAATACCTACAACAGACATAACATGCAGTCAGTCAGTCAATAGCCGTTTTTACACTCGTTTAGACTTAGCTATATGTTGTATCAAAATACCTTTGCTCTTGTTTGCGTCTGTGTAAGAAAAGCCTTCTGCCTGGCCGGTCTTGCGGCCTAACAGACCCCAAAGGTTGGGCCCGACCTTGTGCTTCCCTCCCTTCTCGACCGTGTGACATTGGGCACACTTCTGCACGAATACCTTCTTTCCCTTTTCAATGTCACCCATGTTTTCTAAAACACATAATTACAAACACATGAATGAAAACAGCACCGAACAAATAAATAACATACTGCGCCCACTTTAATAGCATTATTAATTACACTGCCCAGGATTTAAGTTGAATATCTTGTTGGGGGACTGGGGCAGGGAACGTCACTAGCGTCACTAGGAAGTTGTCATTTTAAGGACACTACGGAGTATTTGACACTAGCGATGAATTACCAGAACTTCTCGTAAATTAATCATATTAACTGACATCCACACATGCACATTCAACTATGATGAGAATTCAACAGGTAAAAGAATATTAGCGCACCCACACCCACTACCCAAATGAACCCTAAAATATGTCCTATAATATATAAAACGACAACGAGATGGGATATTAACGATGTGTAGTTGGTCACAAGCATATGTATGGTACTGTACCCGTCAATAAGCCACGTGTCTCAGTCATTTCAGACGAAAGCAGAAACACCGGCCTAATGGTGCCGCGTCCTTTCGCAAGGACACGCCGGTACTTGGGACTCCGCGCAACATATCAGTATAAATTATATTAGTCATCCTAAAAAACATATTAATTGAATATGACAGCAAAGCCAATTAACATTTTAAATAAAAAAACGTAGGTCTTACCTTTCAAATCAATACAGCACCGGTTTAGTACAGGAAGTAGACGATACTTGCAGTGTCTAAGGACGGACGACTTTCGATTCGAAGCTATACCCGGTTTCGGGTCATTACTACCGCCGGAAGTACGTCACACGTTCCGCCGATCACGTGACAAAAGGGGCGTGTGCGTGCGCAAGCCGGACCATGTAAGGCTCGCGACTTGCGGCGATTGTTGCGCAAGGTGGCATTATAAAATCCAGACTACGATTCACTCGTTTCATCAAGTACGAGTTCATTCGCGTGTTATCGAACTGTTTGTTTCCTGAAAACCAAGTGCTTTTGTATTGTTCCACATCGTGGGTACCTTTTTTTTAATTTCGTACTTATAACGCATCAATGTGTCTTCCACCAATAGCCCTAATTTGCATTAATCCTAACTGTCAAAATTATTTGTTTCAGTACAGTGATCGTGAATGATTTGAGTTCATAATGTAAGGGAGGCAAGATTCCACCAAAAATAAATTAAATTTAGTAATCCCTTCATTAATATACCACAGTAACTGATATTGCCTAAGCACCTTAAACGTCAGCAGGTGACGCCCTTAATTGACGGACGTAGTCACAGTGTCGCTCATTGGTTTTTTATTTTTGCGCTAAGTTTGAGACGTTTATGAAGTTCAGTATTAATTAGACTGCTGCCATGAATATGATCTTTTCATTCAATGCAAGTCCTACATAGACAATTGCCAGATATACAAACTGGACTCCAGATGAGCATAGGAACAATAGAGTGATGCTATTAAAAAGGGAGGTTGTATATTTTTTGATTATACTAAAATCTTTGAATATGGTGGGCATGATAAACTATGGAATGTTAACAGAAAATGAGTGTACCAGAGCATCTCCTCATGAAGACACCAGTCAGGACAGAATATGGTGATTAGTCTGAGACTGGCACATGTTACATAAGGCTACATGCTGTCACCATACATATTCAACTTAAATAAAGGACATGGAACTAAGAATTAAGATTTGTTGAGAATGTGAATCTCTATGTATGTGAAAGCTGGACAATGAAAAAGCAGCACTGAATGAGTACCGACGCCTTTGAAATTTGTTGCTGGTGAGAACTTAAGAATGTTCTAGACTGCAAGGAAACAAGTGGATTCTGGAACAAATCAAGCCTGAATCAAATGGCTGGACTCAAGCTATCCTCTCTTTGGCATATTATGAGATGACCCAGTGCAGTAGAGAAGACCGTGTTGCTTGGCCAAGTTGAAGGTAAAAGAGGAAGAGGATCACTACCAGCACCAGCGATGATCATGCCTTAGTGACGTCTGAGGAACTCAGCAGACAGGACATTCTTGAGGAATACCATCATTATGGATTTCAGGAGTTCACATCAGCTTGATAGCATCTAATAAATCTAATAATCTAATCTAATAAACATGTTCTTACAGCAGAGCAGTAGTCTATATTATGGGATGCAGATAATTACTCAGGTTGATACAGTATATTAACTCTGTGAACCCAGACGATAGAGAAATACTGCTATGCAATGTTTTGATTGCAGTGATTAGTTTTAAAGTGCACGTAGTATATTCTTATTCCATTTTGGGTGGAGTTTTGTGCATGGTCAGTCGAGGGCTTCTTTAAGCACGCGGAGGGAGAAATGCCATCATTCGGATTTACGTTTATTCAATTGGCAGCCGCATTTTCACACAGCCTCTTGGAAATCAATGCGTCACGGCAGATCCCGCGTGAAGAAGTGGTGAGCAGCGTTAAAAAGAATTAGCATATAAAGCATTAGGAGTTAGCTGAGCTGCGCAAGTTCTAACAAGAGTTTAACAGCTAGCTGAAAAAGCAGATCTTTGGGTCTGGGGAAGGAATGCAATTAGGCAAAACCAGGCCATCGACTGGCACACTGGGTGAATTCATGTCCACAATCAGGAAATGACGTCTTAAGGCAGGTGTAATTTCCATCCATTGCATCATGCATTACAATTCTATACCAGTCCTCTCTTGACGGATACACAACTTTCATAAGTAAATAAAAGTATTAAAAATGTAAAATGTGTTTGTAAACATACCAAATATCAATAACAGATGGCTAGCGGTGGGCTGTGCCTTTCCTCCATACAACATCAGCAGTTGTACAAAGACCTGTATCAGCTGTACTGAGGCTCATAGAGATGGTGTCACAGCGGTGTGCAGCTTCCCTGGGTCTGACCCATGACTGGAAAGCACTTGACTGTACAAAACTGGCGAGATTCTTCTGTGGCAAATCTTCTAGTAGTTATTCGATTTTTGCTGATGGTTGAAAAGAAGAGTATGCAGTTTTAGAAAATTATTGGTAACACTTTACATTAACTGCACCTTCATAATGCCTTTAAAGAGCCTTTAAAGCGCCTTTAATTACTGGATATTACGGCCTTAACAGCTTAACATTATATGATAATAAACATTAAAATCATAATATAATCTTTGTTATTAACATATGTTATATACTTACATGCTACTTATACAGTAATCTATGAATGCATTATGAAGGTGCAATGAATGTTCTACAAGTGCATTATTAAGGCATTACGAAGGTGCAGTTAATGTAAAGCGCTACCAAATAATTTCACATAACGCGTGCATATACACTCACCTAAAGGATTATTAGGAACACCATACTAATACACCTTCAGAACTGCCTTAATTCTACGTGGCATTGATTCAACAAGGTGCTGAAAGCATTCTTTAGAAATGTTGGCCCATATTGATAGGATAGCATCTTGCAGTTGATGAAGATTTGTGGGATGCACATCCAGGGCACGAAGCTCCCGTTCCACCACATCCCAAAGATGCTCTATTGGGTTGAGATCTGGTGACTGTGGGGGCCATTTTAGTACAGTGAACTCATTGTCATGTTCAAGAAACCAATTTGAAATGATTCGAGCTTTGTAACATGGTGCATTATCCTGCTGGAAGTAGCCATCAGAGGATGGGTACATGGTGGTCATAAAGGGATGGACATGGTCAGAAACAATGCTCAGGTAGGCCGTGGCATTTAAACGATGCCCAATTGGCACTAAGGGGCCTAAAGTGTGCCAAGAAAACATCCCCCACACTATTACACCACCACCAGCAGCCTGCACAGTGGTAACAAGCCATGATGGATCCATGTTCTCATTCTGTTTACGCCAAATTCTGACTCTACCATTTGAATGTCTCAACAGAAATCGAGACTCATCAGACCAGGCAACATTTTTCCAGTCTTCAACTGTCCAATTTTGGTGAGCTCGTGCAAATTGTAGCCTCTTTTTCCTATTTGTAGTGGAGATGAGTGGTACCCGGTGGGGTCTTCTGCTGTTGTAGCCCATCCGCCTCAAGGTTGTGCGTGTTGTGGCTTCACAAATGCTTTGCTGCATACCTCGGTTGTAACGATTGGTTATTTCAGTCAAAGTTGCTCTTCTATCAGCTTGAATCAGTCGGCTCATTCTCCTCTGACCTCTAGCATCAACAAGGCATTTTCACCCACAGGACTGCCGCACACTGGATGTTTTTCCCTTTGCACACCATTCTTTGTAAACCCTAGAAATGGTTGTGCGTGAAAATCCCAGTAACAGAGCAGATTGTGAAATACTCAGACCGGCCCATCTGGCACCAACAACCATGCCACGCTCAAAATTGCTTAAATCACCTTTCTTTCCCATTCTGACATTCAGTTTGGAGTTCAGGAGATTGTCTTGACCAGGACCACACCCCTAAATGCATTGAAGCAACTGCCATGTGATTGGTTGATTAGATAATTGCATTAATAATAAATTGAACAGGTGTTCCTAATAATCCTTTAGGTGAGTGTATATTGTCAATATTGTTTTCTGAGAGCCATGGGTACGTTACTCTCTCACTTGGCAACAAGCTATAAAAATGTTTTTTTTTTAAGAAAAATATTTAATGCAAATTTCAGTAGTATTTTTTATAAACACACACATACATACATGTATGTATGTATCCTTCATAATATTTACATAACTTACGGGCTTGTGTAAATTTGTGGACTGACTTTCCAATAAAAATACACATATGAATATGCTCAATGTGTGATATCTCTTCTTGAAATGCTCTTAATGTGTGATTCCTCTGCTTAAAATGTCCTAAACTTGCATGGAGGGGTGGATGGGTCTTTTTGTACTCTTCTTTTCAATCTCACCTCTGGTCCAGTCCCGAGTCTGGCACACTGATATATTTCCTCTGGAAATTCTAATGATAATATTTGGTGTCATGGCAACCAACAGGCTTTGTACAATAAATAATCAATAATTAATACGAGCACGCTGGAATGATTGGTATTGCAAAAAAAAAATTATGAAAAGACGTTATATTAAGTGCTCGGCTGATGGGGTTGCGCTGGAGTTGCTGACGAATATTAACCATGGGAGAAATGGACTATTGAAAACACAATCGGAATTTTTAAGCTGTATTCTAACCACTAGATGGCGGGAGGTACTAACGGAAGGCTTAGACTTGGTGGAATATGAGTTTTATACGTCTACCGTGTCATATAAGATAATTTTAATGTATAGGCTTTTTTAGAAGTAAAAGTTAAAACTACTATTAATGAGAGTGGTTACTGTAAAATCTGTAATTCCCACATAATTGCCCATATAATTCACATTTTGTTGTAATTACTAGCACAGAATCCATAAGGAGGCTAAATACAAATATTGGCTCATTTTTAAATGCGATTATACAGCTATAATTCCAGTAACGATTTTCTGGGCATTTGTCAGTTTGGTATGCAGCGTTAAGCAGCTGCGGCTTACTTAAAATGCCAACTACCGAAAACCGTGAAAACAGTGCTATTTGATTAGGCTAGCTCATTTTCAAAATTAACTAGTGGTTCTTTTAAACTTGAAGGAAGTTCTACATTTTCTGTGTTCCATGGGTCCTAATGTACAATTATTTTCCACTTTGCTAGTAGCACCTACTTCAATTTCACTGACAGGCAACGTTTTTCAAAACATGCCGAGTAAACGTGTATGACGAAAGGTAATGTCATCTTAATATATCGGTATATTAATAATTGACATGCATAACTGCTTGTTGTTTTGTTGGCTCTGTAAACCCTAATTTTAACATTGTTATAACATTAATGTACGTTATTGATATTTCTGTGACTACTGAGCATTT